TAAAAAATTGGTTTGGAAAAATGTATATTCAACCCTGATGATTAAAAAAAGTTTAATTTTGTAGACCAGTGTAATTATTATTTCCATATAGGAAGTATTACAATAAAATGTGATTAATTAAATTAGTATTAGTTTAAATAGGTTAGTGTTACATATGTCTTGAATTACATTTTTTTTTTTTTATATACATAATAGTGGTTAGTATTATTAAATTATGTATTGTTACAGTTTATTACATATTTTAAATAATTTATTGGGTTTTATCTTTTTTTATTAAATAATTGAAAATACACTTTTTATTTATTTATTTATTTATTTTGTACAGAACGGGCTGGAGTCCAGTTTGATTAAACATACAAATATGATAGTAGTACATAATAATAGAACATGTTTAATAATAGTAGGCAAGTTTGCGTAATAAATCAATAACATAATTTTTTTTTAATAGATACATAATTCACAGAAAGTTATAAAAAATACGATAAGTGTGATGGGTCCTTATTAGCAATATCCATCATTCTAATAATTGGTTGATTACTCGAATAGTTAGTGGTACACCTAGGCACAAAAAAAGGGTATGTTTGGCGGGCATTAAATGAGGGTATTTTAAAGTTGATCAGTGAAAGAATCTCTGGAGCATCAATTAAGCCATCTAATAATTTTGATAAAAATCTCAAATTGGCCAATGTTCTCCTGTCAGCTAAAGAACTCAGGCCAAGCTTAGTCGATACAGGACCATACTCATGAGGAGGATGATTAATTTTTAGGATAAAACCAGCGTAGTTTAAAAATTTCCTCTGAACTCTTTCAAGTGCACTTTTATTACTCACCGTGTGTGGATCCCATATGACAGCGCCATACTCTAACACTGACCTAACATATGCACAGTACAATAATTTTAAAGGAGTCATTAACTTGAATTCACTACATATACGTCTAAGAAACCCAAGAATTTTAGGAGCTTTACAGCAGGATTTTTCTATGTGCGAATGAAAATTTAACTCACGATCAAATACAATTCCTAAATCTGTGACAGTATTATCTGAATGTATTAGAGGAAAATCGTTCATAAAGTAGGTGAATGTGATAGGAGTGCGTGTCCTATAGAATGACATCGAGTGACATTTGACGACATTAAACTCAAGGCCCATGTTAGTAGCCCAGTTAACTACTGCATTAAGATCTTCTTGTAGAAGCAGACAATCGTTAATCGAATCTATATTTAAAAATAGTTTCAGATCGTCGGCAAACAGAAGAAATTTGCTGTTATGAATAACGTGTTTTATATTATTAATGAATAACGCAAATAGCATAGGTGACAAATGACCTCCCTGAGGTACACCTGATGGTACATTAGTTATATCAGATTTTATCCCAAATACCTTGACAAATTGCTTTCGGTTACTAAGATATGAGTTGAACCAAGACAATAAAGGCTCACCAAATCCTGAGTTCTCGAGTACTTTCCCCAAAATTGAATGGTCAACCCTATCGAACGCTTTAGCAAAATCAGTGTAAACTACATCGATATATTATATATATACTATATATTTTTATATATAACATCCGTTATAGAGTCATGAAAATACGTCACCTCATGTTCCCTTTTGCACAAAATGTCATGCATCTCTTTCAAATTCAACATCCTCCCATTCTTTTGCACATGTCCTATGCTCTCTGAGTATAACAATTTGTTGTTGCTAGTGTCTATTAATTTTAAACTAAAAATATTATCATTATTATCGCTATATGAACTTATGTCTAAAAATCTCTTAATCCCTGGTATTCTAAGTTTTCTAAATATTTTAACATCCATTGCTCCAATTCAGGTTACAATAACTGATTGGGTGTTATCAGAAAACAAGTATTTTGATATGAACGCCGATCCGAAACTTGTTGCCCCCTGGTGATTGATACTAATATCAATCTGCCCCAATAAAGGTTTCAACACGTCCGGTTTCTTTCGGAAAATTCCTTTCAAATACTGTTTCAAGGTGTTCAAATTCTTTTTGTTTAACATCCTCAACTTATTGTCTCCTGTTAATATAATTGGTCTCCCTTGCATGTTAACTGGTCTATATTCAGGGGCGTGCCTAGGAGGGGTTTTGGGTGTTCAACCCCCCGCCCCCGAAAAATAAAAATAATTGTTAATAAAAGTTTTACATAATATTATAAAATATATTTTATATTATATGTGAAACTTGATTAGGTTTGGTTCACATGGACGTGGTGTTTTTGCATCGCTATCGTGAAACAAGATCATTATTTCGGGTCATGTGAGCGATATAGGTATAGGAAATCCTTATACCTATAAATACGCGTGATTGACTGGAGCGCGTGTACGATAACATATCGACTATTGTACTTTATCTAAGATTTTTCGATATGAAATGTGTCCCATGTAGCCACGTAAAAGAATTAAACGCGGTTTTTTTCGACCAAGATAACTACTGTAATATATACAGTGAACAACATCGTCAACATCAAAAGAGTTATAATACGATATTTCCACGTAAGTTTAATATTTTGTACTAATTTTTGTCTAATAAATTAATATATATTATATTAATTTATTATGATTATTATTTAGTAATACAAATTCCATTATAATTTGTAGAAGATGAAAAGGTCAGGGAAAATACCGGATTTTTTCCAATTAAGAACAAATAAATTACCTAAGACGACTGATACTAACAACATTGAAAATATCGAAAGCGTCGAAAATGAAAATGTAGCTTCTACGTTAATAAATTTCGATTCTCAAGAAATTGGTGCGTATATAAACTTAAGAGAAAAAAATATAGTTTTAAATGATTTGAAACGTGAACAATTACTTATATCTCCATGGGTCCCCTAGAGTGGATATATATTTCCTATAGACAATACTAATAAACGAAATTTACGTTTTCAAACGAGTTGGATAAAAAGATTTTCATGGTTGGTATATTCTGAAATGGAAAATGGTGCTCTGTGTAAGTTTTATGTTCTGTTTTCTAATTCTGATACTGGTAAAGGTAGTCACGAAAAAACAAAACGTTTTGTGTCACAGCCATTTAAAAAATGGAAAAATGCGATAGAGAAATTTAATGATCATGAAAATTGCCAATATCATAAATTATCTAAAGAACGCGCAGAATATTTTTTGTCAGTAAATTATCGAAAGCAAAAATCTGTGATTGAAGTTTTAAACTCTGAACAAGCCCGTCAAGCTTCGGAAAATAGAAAAAAACTATATTCAATAGTTGAAACAATTATTCTTTGTGGTCGATTAGAAATGTCTTTAAGAGGGAAAAATGATTCAGGACGTATAAATGTAGATAAAGAAGAATAACTGGTGGTAAATTTCGTGAACTACTCAAATTTAGAGTAAAAGCTGGAGATGAAATCTTAAAAAAACATTTAACTGAAGGGAGTTTAAATGCACAATTTACAAGTGCTAAAATACAAAATCAATTAATAAATATTTGTAGTGATATTATATCAGAAAAAAGGGCTAAGATATTTTCAGTTATGGCAGATGAAACTACTGACGTCTCTAAACAAGAACAAATGTCTCTATGTATCCGTTACATTGATCCTGATTTGACATACCCTTTAATTCGAGAAGATTTTTTAAAGTTTGTAGTTGTTTCTGATTTAAGTGGCCAAGGTCTAGCGACAACTATAATTGAAAATTTACAATCGGCTGGTATTAACTTAGACTTTTTAATTGGCCAGGGTTATGATGGCGCGGCTTCTATGAGTGGTCATTTGAATGGTGCTCAAGCTTTAATACGTAAAAAAATCCAAAGGCATTATTTGTCCATTGCAGTGCGCATTCTCTTAATCTCGCAATCACTGATGCTTGTAAGATAACTGTTGTCAGAAATATTGTGGGTAGTGTATCGTCAGTTTGTAATTTTTTTCGAGGATCAGCTCAACGCACTGATGTTTTAAAAAAGCATGTGATAAATCATTTTTCAAGTAGTAGACATACAGTACTGTTATCGATGTGTGAAACGAAATGGATATAAGACACGATGCTATTAATCGCTTTAAAGAAAGGTACATTTCAATAACTCATGCGTTAGAACATCTCCAAAAATCAATTAATACCGAAACTTCCAATAAAGCTTATCAACTCCTTTCAGTAATATTAAATTGCCAATTTTTTATTACTTTAAGCATAATAGAAAAAGTATTTGCTTATACATTACCACTATGTTATCACTTACAGACTGTGAATTCCGATTTAACTGCTGCATGTGATCATGTTCAAAATATAATTAATGCTCTTAGTAACCTTCGTAATAGTAATAGTGGTTCCAATTTTAAATTAATATATGATAAATGTAATCAAATACTTATTGATGTAGGTAGTGAAGTGACAATTCCTCGCTGCGTAAAAAAACAAATAAACCAGGATAATATTCCTTCACGATCGCCTGAAGAGTATTACAGACGCACAATATTTAATTCATTTTTAGACCATACCATTGTTCATTTATTAGACCGTTTTATAAAACATAAACAAATAATAACTGAATTAGAAAAATTAATTCCAAGTCGTATTAATGTAAATTCACTAGATCTATCAAAAGATACTATTATCTTTTATGAAAGTTTATTGCCAGATTCTACAGTATTTAATGAAAAATTCTCCACATGGAAATTAAAATGGCTAAAAGATAATATTGAAAAAATACCTACAAATGCAGTAGAGTCTTTATTAGAATGTGATGAAAGATTTTTCCCAAATATAAGAAAACTGATGGAAATATTAGTAACTTTACCCGTGTCTACGACAACTGCAGAAAGGACCTTTTCTACTTAACGGCGTCTCAAAACATATTTGCGCAACAAAACTGGAGAAGATCGGTTAACTGGGTTAGCTCTTCTTTCAATTCAAAAAGAAATTAACGTTGATCCTAATGAAGTGGTGAGAAGGTTCGCTTTAATACCTCAAAGACAAGGATTCGTTCTGTGATTTTTTTTTATATATGTTGTATGAATATTGTATATATGACCAATTATAATAAATATATATATATATATATTAATATTTTAATATCTATTATCTAGTAAAAAAAAAACACTTTTATACTTTAAAAAGGGTCGGGTTTTAAAAAAATTTTGCCCCCCCCCCCCCCCCCGAAAAAAATTTCTAGGCATGTCCCTGTCTATATTTGTCTAGACTGTGGCACATTGACCCCGATACAAGTAGTAAGTCCGTCTTATTGATGTTGACAAATTCAAAATCAATAATTACGAACTTAATATTACAATAATATTAATTAATCATATCAATAATAAATTTTTTTTTTTTTATAATTTTTTTTTTTTTTTTTTATTTATTCTTATTACTAAAATTAATTATTAATGATTTATTATTTTTATTTTATATTTTATCATGGGAATGGTAATCGTGATCCTATAACATTATATATAGCTTCGAATCTATCTTGTTCGTTCGTTAAATCTCGCTGAGTTGAATATCTCTGTCTACGACTAGGTATTGGTGTGGAAACATCTACAATGGTCCTTCCTATTGCGATTAATTTTGCGCGCTTAAATATTATGCATACAATTATCACTATTATTATTATGAGCAGGACTAACGCTATCATAATATATAATGTGTATGAATGCGTAGTATGTTGACTGTAATGTTTTTGCCTCTCTTCCTCATTGCTTATCTGTCGTTCTATTTCGTTAAGTGATTGTGAATATTCGTGTAGGTCAGTTAGTTTTAAATTTTTTATATGAACTTATATTTTTTAATGTTATTAAATGTGCATTTTGCGGTATTTTGTCTAGTAATGAAGTCATATCACTTTGAGGTATAAAATCTATGAATTTTTTATATATTTCTTCTTCTATGGGTGTTAACACGACATGTTTACCTGATAACTATATATATATATATATATATATATTTCGTATGACAAAGTAGAGCAACAAATTTAAACATGTAAATAATAACAAACTATATAGAATAGGATACAAATAATAATAATAAGATAAAATAATATAAAATAAAATAAAATAATAATATGTCTAATATGGCAGGTGGTAACTATTATAGATGAGATGAATTTGTAACTATAAGCTAAAGATTCATGTCCAGATTTTGTATCCAATCAATCACATCCATGTTAGCTGTATGGATATCATTTATAGTGCCTTTGAATGCACGGAACGGGCATTCAATTGCTATATGGGAGATTGTTTGCATATCATTTCCACAGTCACATGAAGGAGTGGTGTGTAATTTCCATTTATACATCATGTGGTTACATCTTCCATGGCCGGTCCTAATGCGATTTAGGGTCATCTAAATCTTTCTAGGCAGATCGAAGCCTGGCTGCTTGGAAGTCGGATTGGTAACAATGTTTTGTCCATCAGGGTTCTCCGCCATCCAATCCTCAAGCCATTTGGTATTTTCCCCTGTGTTTTCCAGTAATAGCATCTCTGCGGTTTTCCAGGGTGGTTTGCGTGACTTAAGACGTAGTCTATCCACATTGAGTCTTACATCTGCGTGTACCGGAAGGTTCTTGTTATTTTTTATCTTAGTCCATTCCCGGATGAGCGCTAGTTCTCTTCGGATCTTAGGGGGAGCTATATTGCTAAGTACTGGGAGCCATTTTAAAGGGGTAGTTTTTAATGTTCCCCCTATGATTCTCATTGCTGAGTTGATCTGTGTATCAAGTTTATTGGTATGTGCACTATTTATCCATACTGGGGCACAGTATTCTGCAGCTGAATATACTAGTGCTAGCGCGCTGATTCGTAAGGTATTTGCATCAGCTCCCCAGGATGTACCGCTCAATTTGGCAATTATACTATAACGGGTCTTTATTTTCGCTGAAAGTTTGACTAGGTGGTTCTTGAAAGTGAGCGTTCTGTCTAATACCACACCCAGGTACTTAGGGTAGGGGTTGTTTTTCACTAGCTGATCTCCAATTTGCACCTGTATCTCCTGATTTGCTCTTCTGTTATTCAGATGGAAGAGGGTGACTTCCGTTTTTGATGGATTCGGTTTAAGTCTCCATTGGTTGTAGAACTTATGTAATGTATCAAGGTCTTCAGACGGGATGTTTTCTAGGTCTTCGAGTTCTTTATTCTGGCACGCTAGTGCTAGGTCATCAGCATATATAAATTTTCTTGCAGTTGTCGCTGGTAGGTCCTTGATATATAAGTTAAAGATAAGTGGTGCCAAGACAGAACCTTGAGGGAGGCCATAATTTAGCATCTTTATTTTACTTTTTTCCTCTCCAATAAAAACAGTAAAAAATCTGTTACTAAGCATATTATTGAGAAGTTTTAATAATGTTTTGCATGGAATCACATCCAGGAATTTTGATGGGAGCCCTTTCCTCTAGACAGTGTCATAGGCAGATGATAGGTCTATGAATGCCACTGCTGTTTTAACGTTTCTATCATACCCATTTTCTATATGGGTGGTAAGTGCCATTACCTGGTCACAGCAACTCCTATTAGGGCGGAACCCAGCCTGTTAAAGTGGGATAGTGTCATCAATGGTGCTAACAATGCGGTTGTAGATCAATCTTTCCAGTAATTTGTAGCATACGCTTAGTAGCGATATCGGTCTATAGCTGCTTACATCATTTTTTGGTTTTCCTGGCTTTAAGACTGCTAAAATTTTTGTTTGTTTAAAGAGTTTCGGTAGTTTTCCCGTATGGAGGACATCGGAGAAGAAGAGAGAAAGCCATTTAATTGTCTTGGGTCCGCTATATTTTATAAACTCCGGGTAGATTTCATCGAGTCCAGCTGCTTTCCTAAGTTTTACACGTTTTAATGCTAGTTGTACTTCTTCGGGAGTAAATTTTTCAGCCCACTTAGATTTTTCCACTGCATGGGTTTTCTTTACTTTGAGGTCCATAGTCAATTTCCTAAATATATCTTTGTCGATTTTGGCTCTTGACGTTTCTATCAATCGATTCGCAAATGCATTAGGTTTTATTTCAGGTTCACCGTCACCTCGATTCTGGCTGGGATCTAGTCTGCGTAGTACGTTCCAGGCTTCCCGGCTAGAGTGTTTAAAATCTATATGTTCTACGGTTTCAGTCCAGTGGTCCTTGCGTCCTTTAGCTAACGAATATCCTAAGAGTTTGTCCGCAGTTTCTGCTTGGTCATTCCTTTGGTATTCTGTATACAGTCTGTCGCTTTCCTCATTCCAGCAGGGGATATATTTATGACTGAAGCCATGGGGAATATAGCGTTTTGCAGTTCCCTTGACCATGCCAATGAAGCGTTCATAGTTGTTCACTATTGGATCGATCCACCTGATGTTATCGTTTAGAGATTTTGAGAAGGCAGTCCAGTTAGCTTTCCTAAAGTTCCATCTCGGTTTAGGTAATGTTTTTACTAGTGGGATCTGAATACCTATTTGTATGAGCACTGGTCTATGTTGACAAAAAATACAATTATAATGATAATAATAAAACTAAAAACTATACAAAAATATTATACTCTTATTTTTAATGTGAAATTTGAGCTTGTACTCCTTTTATTAATAATGATAAATCTGGATGAAATTTAGCGGTTCCGATCCTCAAAATTGAATAAAGGTGTTTATCCGTAAGTCGCGATTTATGAACCGATTTTGTTTGTTTCATTGGTGAAAATATTTGATCGTATATATACGTCCAGCCAAATACATTATAAAGTCACTTAAAGCAGGGAAATCTTCATTTGGAAGTTTTGAATAAAATTTTAAAATATCGTTTTGTTTCATTTTTTGAAATTCATCACAGTAAAATGAATTTGTTTACAACTCAATAATTTCAAGTTGAAGAAAAGCGTCAACATCATTTTCATCAATATTAAATGGATTTTCAAATAAACGCCACGATTTTTCGTGTAATTTAACATCAGAAAATCGAGATGAAAAATCAGTTTCCTACTTCTTTAACATTTCTACAAATCGATTTGTTGAACATAACAGTTTTGTTTCATTTTTAAACTTTTGGCAGTTTTCAAAATGGCTAAAGTCACTGCGCTCAATTTGATCAATAAATAATTTTAATATTGCATCAAATGATTTAACAGTATTATACATGTCAAATATAAGTTTTCCAGGTCCTTATAATTTTAAATTTTAAATATTTAAATGTAAGTACTTAAAATAACGTACTGATCAAACTAATGTGTACTTACTATTACGTGCCAACCGTTTGATCCGTGATTTCAGGCTAATGTCTCAGTCAACGCTTGGATATAGGTGTAGCAGTGCCGTAGCCAGAAAATTGTTTTGGGGGGGGGGGGGGGGGGCACTTAATTTTTAACTTATCATCACCTATTACTTTATGGCCCCTTTGCTTATAAAGTGTTAACTACAGACCTATTATTTTTATGACTACCATTATATGCTAACAACTATGGTACCCATATATTTAACACATTATTATATTATTATTATATTATTTGTTATTAACAAAGTATTATTATTTCTTTAATAATATTTTTAAAAATTAAAAAATAACAAAGTATTAAAATATTATGTTAAAACATATATTGATAGAATAATGTAATTAATTAATATAGCTATATTAATATAATTTTATCAATATTATCAATATGTGTTGTAAATGTTGTAATCACATTTCATTTTTCATTCAAATATTTTTACTATTTACTAACAAGAATACAAGATCATAACTTTTAACTTTTATTAAACATATAATAGAAAACAAGTTATAGCTGTCCTGATACAAATAACAAATGGGATAGTTAAGACTAAAGGATATTATGATGGAGCAGTTAAACAAATTTAAATGATTATAATCTTAATAAAATATTTCTTTATTTCATAATATTATTTAACAAATGGGTCAAAAAAATGTAAATATTATTAAAAATAACAAATTATTCTTTAATATATTATAATAAAGTAGTAACAGTAACAAATTAATAATAAAAAAAAAAATTTCTCAGATTAAAAATTAATTATTTACAAACATTATTTTTTTAAAATTATATTAAAGACTATATAACGTAACCGCAAATAATATACCATGTCCCCATTAACTATATACCACTTGGCACTTGAGCACAAAATAATAAAACATTATAATATAATAATATGATACTATCAAACCATAACCGTGTTCACAACAAAAATGGAACGCACTTGTATTTCTTATCTGAAGTCTGTGCTTATCTTTACTATTTTACAAATTTTATGAATATAAGTATACAAATCATAAAATTAATAACTTATTGTTATTCGTTATCATAGATTAATCTTGAATTATATAAATTAAAAATTTCTGTGCGATGTACTATGGGTCTTTGGCCAACCAAAAAAAAAAAAAAAACGTGCCCTCAGTGCCACTGGCTACGGCACTGAGGTATAGTGAAGAATAATTAAGACTCTTTATAATAATTAAATTTATTAAACTTATATAATTATTCTAACTACAATTTTGTAAATATTCTAAGTCCAAATAATTTGGATTATAGAAATTATTAACACGTTCAATGCCGACATTATTTTGGCGTGTTACGCTACACGCCACGCTCATATTTGAAAAACATGGACGCCGTCGGATACGTGACGACGCTGGCCATACGGTGTGGTTATGCATCATATGGCCAACGTCGGCACGTATCCAACACGATATGTAATAAAGCATTTATTTTTTGAATTGTAAATAGTAATGCATATACTTATATATTTATGTATAGTATAATTATCAATATAAATATATAATTATTATTTTAAAGATTTTGATATCATGAAAGGTAAATTATTATTAGAATCTAAAACATGATGGTTTTATTTTTGAATATAAAATATTATAACGAATGATAAGACACATAACAAATACTTATAATGTTTTAATAACAATACATTAATAATAGTTCACAAATTAATATAATGTGATCACAATATAAATAACAAAAAAAAAGAAAAGTATAAAATAATTAAACAAAATTATAACGTTTATTTGTGAAACTCCTTGAAGCATTGTTCCAAACATAACCCTGGTTCATCCTCACATTGATCACAGTAATATATAGTTTCTTCTTTTTTTTTTATCAGCACAAACCTTACAGAGTTTTTATAATATCTGTTTTTTCATTTTTTTCAACTTTTTGGGTAAATGTGCTTCAGTTTTTTTCGCCTCAGAATTTTTCTGTGTTTTATTGTCTTTTTGAGGTAATAAACTTTCAATAACTGAGATCCTGTAGTCGTACAGTGATATTTTTTTTGCGTTTCTATTATATAGAAAATATGAATTGATTAACAATAAGTGGATAAAATGCATACCAATTTTTTTTATACCAACTCAAGGATTACCTTTCACAGGGGTAGTATGATGCCATTTGATCCTGGCGATCTACCCCTGACATATTTTCATTATATTTTTTTACGATTATAGGTTTCTGTTTTACTTCTGTCCTAGAACTAACTTTACACATTGAGTGAGAAAATTCAGAACTTATCATCAGAACACCTCTTGTCTTGACTCTCCTTTTTTTAATTTTTTATCAATAACATCTTCAGGGTTATTTTTGCGTTTTGATCGTAGAGTCCCTGTGACAAATGTTTTTTTTTCTAACAACATTTCTGTTAGATGCGCACTATTATAATAATTGTCCATAAATAGTGATCGGCCTTTAAAAAATAATTCATTCATAAGTTTAAAAACCACATACTCTGTATGACTCATATTATTAGATATATCATGTCCTTATCCAGAATAGACCATAATCCTATGTATAAAATCCCAGTCAACATATATGATTTTACGCCATATTTGTGTCGTTTGTTTTTAATGTATTGGCGAAATACCAAACGCCCACGCCATAAAATCATAGATTCATCCATAGATAAATTTTTAGATGGTTCATAAACTTCTTCCATTTTTGAATTAAAATAATTCAAAAGACTCTGTATTTTATATAACCTATTATGAGGAATGGGTTCTCCTTCTTTCGGATTACGAGTGAAATGCAATGCTCGTAATATTAACATGAATCTGTTACGACTCGTATACTCACGAAAACACGGAATGTTGAAAAGTCTACTGGTTTTCCAAATGGAAAACAAAAAATATGGGTAATGGTACCCATATAAAACAATAAACCAACAAAAATGTCCATATCTTTTCTGTTGGTATCTACCCAATTATTAATTCTTGAACTTTTGTGTGTTTGATTTAAAAAAATATCAAGTGCATATGCATTTGTTTCCTCAACAATAAGATCAAAAATACTATCAGTAACTAATAATTTAAAATAATCAATGGGTTCGTTTCCTTCGGGTACACATTTCAAACCTGGTATAGCTGTGAATGGAATTTAGTTTGTATCTGCAGGATCAGATAACCAGGAAGTTACATAATTGTTAGGCGCTTTTCTAAGACTATTTTTAGAGTTATCAGACACATCATTCATCGTACTACTATCTACAAACATATAATGAGAATCATTATTTAAATTACCTTCTTCAACTTCTGCCATGTGATCGTAATCATCAATCAACCTAACTTCAAAATCATCATCAGAACTATCATCAAAATCATCCTCCGATGATAACCATTTATCATTTTCCAAAAATAATAAGAGTTCTTCGTCAGTTAATATTTTAGTTTTTTTTGTTTTATTATTTTTAGGACTTCGAGATTGCTCTAGATGTACCAGGAGGAAGATCCATTTGTATTAAATCAATTTAAAATTAAAAATTAACGTTTAAATAACATAACATAACATTAATGTTTAATTAACATTTCAATTTAACGTCAAGAGTTAACGAATTACGAACTTATTATCATATTATTTCAATAATCTACGTTCGCCTAATCATGTATACAATTGTTATGATACATATGACATGAACATACGAACAATAATTGTGGAAATATTGACGCATAGATTGTTTTGTCGGTGAATTAAGAAGTAACTACAACTACTATTACATTTATCTGAAAAAAAAAGAATGTTTATAGCATTGGACGATAGAAAATAACATATGTTTTGTATTCGTTATACTGTATCAATACATGGTTATAGATAAAATCTTCCCACAATCAACAAAAAGGCGGAAACTAAAAACCAATTGTACCCACTTATTTAAAAATATATACTGAGTAGCCAACACAAATATTATAGTCATACACTCATAGCCGAGTATTTTATTCCACTATAATAATACATATAACGTTTGTCGGACACCTTCCAACACCGGCCAGGCGCGTCGGTATCCAGTGTCGGAGCATATCCGATGTCGACATTGAACGTGTTAAAGTCCCAACAATTATAACTTATAAAAATAGTTTGAAATATTTCTAAGTCCGGACCATGAAATACACTGACGTGAAGATGATCAGTACAACATAGCCAAAACTCGTCTGATTTGCCCTTGTTTCGGGTCCCTTTTATATCTGATATATGCAAGTGTGTGTAAATCCCAAGTGTGTGTGTGTATATGAAAACTGATAATAAAATAAGATAATTTTCTGTGAATTATCTCTCAACCGGCCCATATTCAATGACGCACAGATCCAGGATGAGGTTACTGTCACTCTTATTACTTATTTTAATTTAAGTTTAATCTAACTTGTCCTCGGTTGTGATTTTTAAAATCTAAATAATTATGTATAATTTTGATTAGCTAAGATTGATTGTAAATAGATTATGTGTAACTATCCATAAATGTTAGAATATGTGTAACTATTCATAGATGTTCACAAGAACTCCCTTATTATGTAAGTGTTCTTGTGTGACTACGCAGGATGCGACACTACGATGTATACCCCAATTCATGATCTTTTTATTGGACAATAAAAGATAAGAAAATAAGTCCAATATATAATATTATTTTTGTACTTTTATACTTTGTGGCCCGTTTGAAGAAAATTGTTTACCAAAATCGCCCGCCAAAGATGTACGTTCCGCTAGCAATATTTGATAAGAAAAACCAGGGGCCCCTAAAACCTACTGCTAATTGTTAATTTGTACGCAGAATTGCCTATTCTAATTCCTTAAAAGGACGTCGCACTGGTCGTTTTCAGCGATAAAAACACGTCCTCAGAAAACAAATAAAACACCACCAAAAAGTGATTTTAGAGTAAAAATACTTATTATGAAACTTATAGAGAACAATATTTTGGAGGTAATCTCATCGGTTTGTTAAATAAAAACACACGGAAAAATATGAACTATACATTTAATGTTACAATGTTACTAGAAGAATAACAGAATAAAAAGTATTTTTAACAATGAACATAAAAATCCGACATGAGTGCAGTGTATGCCAACGGTTAAAATGAAAGATAAACTCATTTAATAATATACTGATAACCTGCTATCATGACTCATACTATTTAGAATAGATGCCGCTAGTTATACAATACTAAGTATTAAAGTACTAAATAGGTACATAATAATATATATAAATTTACTAATATTCCAACAGGTTTATTTACACAAAAAAGTTGTGACTACAAAAAAAAACCGCGTTGTAGTAGGCAAAAAAAAAAGTCAAAAAGATTCATCTCAAATTTGGCGTGGAGATTTAGAGACTCCTAAAATAACAGAGTTTTGGGGTCCAGATGAAAACAGTAAAATAAAATATGGCTCACTTGCGCCATTTGAACTTTTTGAATTATTTTTCGATGACCAAGTTTTTGATTCTATTGTACAATATACAAACATTTATGCTTCTTCTAAAAATATTTCCTTGGACTTGACAAAAAATGAGTTAAAATGTTTTATTGCAATTCTCTTATTATCTGGTTATAATGAAATGTCTCAGCGGCGTATGTACTGGGAAAAGGCCCCTGATACAAATAATGGTTTAGTGTCCAATGCTATGAGGCGAAATAGATTTGACGATATATTTCATAATTTTCACTTTTCAAACAACAATAACTTAGATAATTATGATAAATATGCAAAAATAAGACCGTTGATTACAATGATAAATACTAGATTCCTAATGCACGCACCTCACGAAGAATTTCATAGCATAGACGAATCCGTGGTGCCATATTATGGTAAACATGGATGCAAACAATTTATCCGAGGAAAACCAATTCGTTTTGGATTTAAAGTTTGGGTTGGGACATTGCATCTAGGATATGCATTATGGATCTCTCCTTGCCAAGGAAAAAATACCGGTCTCAATCAAACGGATGTCGGATTAGGAGGATCTGTTATTTTAGCTTATACCAACCAAATTATAAACCATCAACCTGCTCCATATCATTTGGTGTTTGACAATTTTTTTACGAGTGTCAATCATTTGGAAAAGCTCAAATCCATCAACATTCGCGCGACAGGTACTATTCGGTCAAACAGAATTATGAAATGTCCAATTGATTTTAAAAAAATGAAAAAACAACCAAGAGGGTCTAGCTGTAGTTTTGTTTCAAATAATGCAATTTTTATTTGCTGTTGGCGTGATAATAACATTGTCTGCTTAGCTTCAAATACTATTGGGACAGATCATATTTCTGTGGCAAACCGCTGGTCTACTTCAGAAAAAAAAAAGAGTACGGATTTCACAACCAAATATTGTTTCTGTTTATAACAAAAATATGGATGGTGTAGATCGAATGGACCAAAATATATCACAATATCGTATTGGGATCAGAGGTAAAAATGGTACTCTTCTATTGTTCTATATATTATAGACCTAGCCGTTCAAAATGCATGGCAGCTTCATAGGATGTATAATAAAAATAAAATGGATCAATTGGCATTTCGAAGAAGCATAGTTATTTCATATCTGACACGTTACAAAACGAAACCCACTCCAGGACGAAGTGGAGGGAAACCATCCAGTGTTATTATGGAAATAAGATATGACAAATTTGAACATTATTTGATTCCCCAAGACTCTCAAACACGGTGTGGTCAATGTCATCAAAAAACAACGACAAGATGTATGAAGTGCAATATTGGTGTCCACGCAAAATGTAACGTCTTATATCACACAAAATAATGTTCGTATGTACTTAAGTAAATACAAAAATTATAAATTGTAAATCTCTCATTATCATAATTTGAATTTAATGTGTAATAATTAATTATCAATTAAATGTATTAAATTTCAATCATTTTTATTGTTATATTTATATATGAAAACAGAATAATATTTGTAATTGTTCATATGCCTAGTGTCCTATATATAGGACACTCGATAACTCTTGTATGGTATATATATTTTTTTTTTAATAATTTTTTCAATCACATTTGGCTCCAATAATATAAGATTATAGTAGAAAAATCAATTTTATTCAAAAAAATTAACCTTAGGCGTAAATGAGTTAATACAACCACATTTATTAATTAATGTCACGAACTTACAACACGATTAAAATGTAAAATTAATTTATCCGACAAAT